ACCCTGAACAGAGAACGCATAAATCACAAAACAGTGAGCAAGTTCTAGTAGCCCCACCTCTAAACACAATGGAAGACACTCAAAACTGCTTTCATATATGATAATACCCTTTTTTGTTCAGTAAAGACCTCAAATCGAAGAACATGTGCATGTTTGTAGAAATATTTGAAAAACAAAAAAAAACGAGTAACTAAAATTACGATTAGCTCCCTAAAACCGTTTTTCTTGGGGGGGGTTCACTTTTGAAATTCCTTGCCTTGACAGTCACACACAAGTGCACATTCTGTACCATCAAATATTATCATCTCGTAGACATCGTGTTTTATCGCCCACTCAGATTCGATGTAGAGCATTTAAAATCAAATGATAGACAATTGATTTAAGATGGCTGAACGGATCTGGCAGGCAAGAACAGAACTGTAATCGGACATAAATGACACCAAAAGACAATTTGTTGTTAAGAAAAGTTTTAAAAGTTGCTCATAGTTACCACGGACAGATATTATCGAGGACAGCCGCAACCCATTCATCAGCGCCTCGTCTCCTTCGCTTGCTTGTCGGAGTGGAACCTACAACTTGTGTCATACAAACAACACAAAGAACCATCCACACAATGGACATGACAACCAACACACGAGTCCTGGTGCTAGCAGAAAATTAAAAGTTCCCGGTCAACCTCTCGTCCTGAGTTATTTGAGAAAAAAAGATTCGTCAGGAACAGTTGGATTGACTACACACCGATAACAATTCACGGAGTCCCCTTTAATGTAGTGTTTCAGTTTTCGAGATCGCTCCCCTTTATATTTCGGTATGTTCCTGGTGGGCAGTTTTTCGAGTAATTAAGTTCGCGTGATAACTTCATGGTCGTGTGTGTGTGTTTTTTTTTTATCAGTTGCTTGGTGATATTCCACGAAATATTTCCTGTCAAGCTTTACGAAACGACTGTCTATCTTAATAATATCTACTTCCTAACATGGGCAAGTTCAACAGCACTCAGCCAGACAACTGACAGGCAAATTGCAAATTCGTCAAAGAATTGTGAATAAGCTGGAACATAAATTAACATGCCCTCGCAACAGCTCGTATGCTCGTTAAACAAAAAGTGAGGCATTCAACCGAGCACCTCCGCATCTGTCCCAGTAAGGCAGGGTGAAATACAACAACATTTTGAAGATTCCTTAGGAATTTCAATTATAAAGAATAAAAACTTTCAAAAAATTTGAGGGGNAAAAAGAAACACGAAGATCCGTCAGGAACAGTTGGATTGACTACACACCGATAACAATTCACGGAATCCCCTTTACAACAGTGTTTTCAGTTTTTGAGATCACTCCCCGTTATATTTTGGTATGTTCCTAAAGGTGGACAGTTTTTCGAGTAATTCAGTTCGCGTGATAACTTCATGGTCGTGTGTGTATTTTTTCGACCAGGTGCTTGGTGAGATTCCACGAAATATTTCCTGTCAAGCTTTAAGAAACGACATATCTACTTCCTAACATGGGCAAGTTCAACAGCACTCAGCCAGACAACTGACAGGAAAATTGCAAATTTGTCAAAGAATTGTGAATCAGCTGGAACATAAATTAAAATGCCCTCGCAACAGCTCGTATGCTCGTTAAACAAAAAGTGAAGCATTCGACCGAGCACCTCCGCATCTGTCCCAGTAAGGCAGGGTGAAATACAACAACATTTTGAAGATTCCTTAGGAATTCTAATTATAAAGAATAAAACTTTCAAAAAATTTGAGAGGCACATTTAGTCACGATATATTTATCTACATGACATTCAATAAGAACTATTATCTATTGTGGGAAGAGTCCCTCACACTGCCCACTTACCTGTCCCTCCGCCACGAGTCATCTGTTTTTACGGATTTAGAATCATAATATGATTTCTCTGAAATTAGAGAGGTTTGGTTTCTTTGTCAAAGTCTCGTTTCCTCCTTTCCTTTTCTGCACTGCATGTTTAATTTGCCACTAAACGAGGAAACAAAGTTACAGAAAAAAATTAATGTACCATTGCTAGTGATATTTGCGATGTTATTATGGATTTTAATGCTACAATAAAAACAAGACCCAAAGAGATTCTCTTCCAATTTCCATTTTTTATTCCCTCCAAATTAAAGCACACAAAAACAAGCTCTTATCCATATTGCGTTATTAGCACTAAATCACACAATAATTATGTGCATTCTTACGTTAACAACATTACTGACGAGTCTTTTCTTCTCTCACCGG